AAATTACAATTTGGCATTTATATGCTTAAACTTGGTAAAGCACAGTTGCTTTACTTTGGAATCATTTGATCGTGGTGCGTCTGTTTCTGTTATCTGTTGTGTTGGGCCATGCTAAGTCACTTCATGTGTCCAACTCTTTGCGACCCCATGGATTGTATCCCGCCAGGTTCCTCTGTCCTTGGGATTTTCCAGGTAAGAACGCTGGAGTGCGTTGTCAGGCCCTTCTCCAGGGGATCTTCCCAACCCAGGGATGAACTCAGATCTCTTGCATTGCAGGTGGATTCTTGAGCACTGAGCCACCAGGGAAGCCCTGTCTATCGTGCTGAGTATGGTATTTGAAAAATTATTTGTAGAAATAATTAAAAGTCTTAGAGGATTTTATTTTACTTCTACAGGTGCCTAAAAGCACTACTGATCTGGTATAACCTTAACCTTAATACACGCGGCAGTCTGAGTAAGGGTCGATTGACTTCATTTTCTCCTTATTCCTAAAGTTTGCTTCTTGGTCCCAGATCAAAACAGAGAGAAGTTCTTCCTTTCAAGGGCTTGGACACTGATACCTGCTTCTCTAGCTCCACGGGCTATCTAAATCAGCTTTTTGTCTGCTTCTTAAAATGTAGAATTTCCCCAGGCCAAAGCAACTGTGAACATTGGGTTTACCACCTCTGGATTCTGTTCCTTCCCTGGATCTTGACCTGAGTTTATCACTTTTCAGTCTCTTGCTAGTTTCTTAATGCTTTTAAGAAGATTTTGGATATTTTTCCAGCCAATTTTTAAGGTATATCAGACACCATTTATTGCTCCATTTTGCATCCTCCTGGGTTACCTTTTAACTCTAGCCATCACTGCAGTCACCACCTACATACAGATGTAAGCTGATACCACTTGACCCACTGGCAAAAACAGTGCAGATCTTTTGTTTTTGGCCTGGGTCCTCTCTGTTACCACAGCTTTAAGTATCCATGGGAATCTTCTTAGACATTCTCATGCAAGAAAAACCTGAATGTATGAGGAGTTTAGCATCTTACAGTGCAACGTTTGATCTTATGGAGGTTGGGCCTATAGGATACTCTCCTTTTCTCTATCTCAGAGGACAGTTCTGAGGTGCACTGTACTTGATGCCTAAGAGAGTCCCCACATTTCAACCTTAGCATTCTCTCAGTCTTCATCTTGAAATCTAATCCTAATTTACATGATCCCCAGGTAAGCCCTTACTTTAAGCTTTGATTTGAGGAAGAACCAGATTAAGACAAATTGTCTGCAGGTTGGATAGTGTGAATTACCTAATGAACTATTACCAGAAGAAGCAGAAATTGAGGGAAAAAAATTAAATTTAGGAGATATTGCCAACATCTGTTGGATCATAGAAAAAGCAAGAGAATTCCAGAAAAATATGTACTTCTGCTTCACTGACTATGCTAAAGTCTTTGACTGTGTGGATCACAACAAACTATGGAATATTCTTAAAGAGATAGGAATACCAGACCACCTTACCTGCCTCCTGATAAATCTGTATGCAGGTCAAGAAGCAACAGTTAGAATCAGACATGGAACAATGGACTGGTTCCAAACTGGGAAAGGAGTTCATCAAGGTTGTATATTGTCACCTTGCTTATTTAACTTATATGCAAAGTACATCATGCAAAATGCCAGACTGGATGAAGCACAAGCTGGAATCAAGATTGTGGGGAAAATATCAGTAACCTCAGATATGCAGATGACACCATCCTTATGGCAGAAAGTGAAGAGGAACTAAAGAGCCTCTTGATAAAAGTGAAAGAAGACTGTAAAAGCTGGCTTAAATCTCAACATTCAAAAAACTAAGATCACAGAATCTGGTCTCATCACTTCATGGCAAATAGATGGGGATACAAGGAAACAGTGACAGACTTTATCTTCTTGGGCTCCAAAATCACTGCAGATAGTGACTGCAGCCATGAAATTAAAAGACACTTGCTCCTTGGAAGAAAAGCTATGACCAATCTAGACAGCATATTAAAAAGCAGACACACACACACACACACACACACACACACACAAGCAGAGACATTATTTTGCCAACAAAGGTCCATCTAGTCAAAGTTATGGTTTTTCCAGTAGTCATGTATAGATGTGAGAGTTGGACTATAAAGAAAGCTGAGCACTGAAGAACTGACGCTTTTGAACTGTGGAGTTGGAGAAGATTCTTGAGAGTCCCTTGGACTGCAAGGAGATCAAACTAATCAATCCTAAAGGAAATCAGTTGTGAATATTCATCGGAAGGACTGATGCTAAAGCTCTAATATTTTGGCCACCTGATGTGAAGAATCGATTTATTAGAAAAGACCCTGATGCTGGGAAACGTTGAAGGCAGGAGGAGAAGGGGATGACAGAGGATGAGATGATTGGGTGACATCACCAAATCGATGGACATGAGTTTGAGCAAGCTCTAGGAGTTTGTGAAGGACTGGGAAGCCTGGTGTGCTGCAGTCCATGGGGTCGCAAAGAGTTGGACACCACTGAGCAACTAAACTGAACTGAACAAAGGAGATATTGTAGTATACTTATATGTTGATGAAAATAATCAGGCATGCAGGTGATAAGTAATGACTTAGGAGAGAATTGCCTTTTTGATGTCCTTGAGTAGGCTTTTAGCTTTAAGCTTTAAGAGAACATCAATTTTTCTTCCCTGACCAACCATCCAGATGTCCATTATTCACTGAGAACATCTCTAACAAAAACAAAAGTTATTTGAATTAGTTTCTTATGGCTGGTGAAACAAAGTACCACAAACTGGGGACTTAAATGATAGAAATTTATTGTCTCACAGTTCTGGAGGCTAGAAGTCTAGACTCAACATGTTACAAGATTTGGTTCCTTCTTGGCCCATAAGGATCTATGCAGGGCCCCTCTCTTTGGCTAGCTGGTGGCCATCTTCTCCCTGTATCTCTTCATGTCATCTCCCCTCTATGCATGTCTGTCTCTGATTTCCTCCTTTTATAAGGAAGCTAATCATACTGGACTAGGGTCCACCCTAATGATCTCATTTTAAATTACTTACATCTACAACATTCTTATTTCCAAACAATGTCATGTTTTGAGGTACGGGAGATTAAGACTTCAGCATATGAATTTTAGGGGGGACAGGATTCAACCCATATGAGTTGTCAAGGCTTATTAATCTATCCTTCAAAATATCTCTCTGACATGTCCTCTTTGACTCAAGTTCAGGTCCTTGTGTGGCATGCCACACTATTTCAGCAGTCTTTCTGGCATGTTTCCACCCTTTTCCCAGTCTCTAGTCCATCCTTACACAGAAATGTGAGATTGTTCTTCTTAAGCTCAGCTTGCATGGTGTCAGTCCCTTGCTCAACAGACCTTCAATGGCTTCCCATTTTCTATCAAATTATATCATCCAAATCATATAACCTGCTCCTCTGAAATAGGAACTAAACTTACCTTCCTTTAAAAAAAAAAATACCCATCTTTTTCTCCCCATTTTCCTTCTTAGAAAGAAAAAGGGAATGAGTAAGAGGGATATATGGGTGAGTGGCAGGAGTTTCCCAGTTTAATGAGAATTAGGTACAAATGAATGTGACTGGTCTAGTGTTGGGTTTAGAAACATTTCCTGAACACACCAAATAGAGGTGGAGAGGGAAAAAATAGCAGCATGACCATGACTCTGTGCCATCAAGAACTAGTCACTTAACTTCTCTGGGTTGCTTAATTGGATGAGATGTGTGGCCAAATCCCAGTTCTTCAGAGAAACAAAATCTTGTTATCTGCCCACGTGCTTACATCTGGGAACGTCAAATGAGTCTGAGAGTACCTTGAAAGTATAAAGCTTTGCAAATAGGACATTCTGGTGTTTGACTGGACTGACTATGAATGATCAGATCACTCACTCCCCTGTAAGATTTTTAAGCTACCATTACTTTGCAGACAAAGGTCTGTCTAGTCAGAGCTATGGTTTTTCCAGTAGTCATGTATGGATGTGAAAGTTGGACCATAAAGAAAGCTGAGCACTGAAGAACTGATACTTTTGAACTGTGGTGTTGGAGAAGACTCTTGAGAGTCCCTTAGACTGCAAGGAGGTCCAATTAGTCAATCCTAAAGGAAATCAATCCTGAATATTCCTTGGAGGGACTGATGCTGAGGCTGAAGCTCCAAAACTTTGACCACCTGATGTAAAGAGCCGACTCATTGTAAAAGACCCTGATGCTGGGAAAGATTGAAGGCAGGAGGAGAAGGAGCTGACAGAGGTTGAGATGGTTGGATGGCATCACCAACTTGATAGACATGAGTCTGAGCAAGCTCTGGGAGTTGGTGATGGACAGGGAAGACTGGGGTGCTGCAGTCCACAGGGTTGAAAAGAGTCAGACATGACTGAGCAACTGAACAACAACAAGCTACCAGGAGCAAACTGGAAAGAGTCAGCAAAATATCATTTAATGTGTGTACACTTTGATTGTAGCACCAGTGTGTTGATTTTTCAGAGCATGAAGAGTGGGGCAGCCCTGGCAGGGGTTATAATACTGGAGGCAGAGACCCTCATAAAACAGCAGAGTCCAGGCCCTTCCAGGTTGGTGATGCCATCCAACCATCTCAACCTCTGTCATCCCCTTCTCCTCCTGCCTTCAATCTTTCCCAGCATCAGGGTCTTTTCCAATGACATGGAAGGATGGGCAACTGGATCACACAGCCTGGCTGGATATGTGTAAAGAAGGCTGCCATTCCAGCTGTGGTCCCACCCTTACTATCCTCACTTGAGGAATGGTCACTGGAAGGAAAACAAGACAGAAGCACTCTCCAGCAGCAATGGGGAGCTGTGCTCTCCTCACCCCAGTCACTGTTTTGGTCCCACCTCTCTCACATCCAAACCTGACCCATCCTGCCTCAAGGAAAGTCACAGAGGGTTCGCATTAAAGTCACTTTATTGATCCAGGTTTTGATCATCCTGGAACTGCCCCTCTGAAGGGCAATGGGGAGGGCACTGGGGCAAAGAGGCTTCACATGAGGTCTCAGTCGGCGACAAGGTTGTGGCCCACAGTGGGGGGTGACTCAAAGAAGCCCTGAAACCAGAAACAAAGGATCAGAATCAGTACGTGGGGAGGTGGCCCCTCTCTCACCTACTCCTCCTCCAGATGCCTCTATAACAGCCTGATTTGAGTCAGCCCGCAGTGACTCAGTCCATTGATTGAGGGCCTGTCACCTTTACTCCCACACAGAATTCATAGAGCTCTCGTCCCATGATTTTCCCTTGGGCTTGGGCTAGAGAAGAATGGCAGTGCCTTATTTGCTTTCACAAAAGCTCTCCAACAACTTGTTCTTCAAGGTGGATCTTTCACTCAGCTCTGGCTGTGTGGACCCAGCAACCAATCCAGGCTTTGGAAGCCCAGCTGCCATCCTATGAGTGGGAAGTGGTTTCCTAGGAGAACATGAGGGGCTAAAAGCCCCCAGAGGTGCAGACTGCCTCTGGAGAGCCAGCTCCATAGCCAGCATCCTCGTCTCCCCTAGACCAGGTTGATCAGCTCCTTACAGGCCTCTCAGTGTTCACTGTCACTCTGCTTATAATCCATCCCTGATTTCACTGGAGTGGCTTCTTAATATCATACCACATTATAATATCCCCCTCCTCAGAATCTCCCAGTCAACTTGCCACTACACTTGGAATCAAATCCAAACTTTCACCAAGATCTATGAGCCACTGTGTGGTCAACCCTGGACCTATTTCTCTAACCTAATCTTCTACCACTGACTTTCCCATCAGACATGCCATGGTATCCTTGTCTCCAGACATTTTCATTGTTTGTTCTCCTCCCGGGAGGCCCTTCCTTCATATCTTCTGTTGGTTACCACCTTCTTGTGATTTAGGTCTTAGTCTAAAAAAAAAAAAAGACTTTTGTCAACGTGGAGAAGTCTGATGTCTAGGGCAGACCCACGCCCACTGCAGTGTCTGAGCAGAAGGAAGGATAAGAGCTGTGCAATGGAAAGGATTAAGAATCAAGAGACCTGGGTCCAGTCTTGGGTCTGCCAATAACCTCCTATGCAGCCCTGAGTAAGTCACTGGGCCAGCCTAGGCCCCAAAGTCTCAAACGTAAAGATAGATGGGAGGGCTAGACAGGTGTTTTCAACCTGGATTCTGAAGAGTTCAAGTCTGCTAAGGAGGTAACCCAGAGCCTTGCCCAGGTGACTTGCCCAGAGTACAAAGTAGAGCAAAGTCAGGAATTGCTGAAGGCTTCTAGACTCTCTCTCCTGTTCATCCAAAGAAGCTTTGCTATCACTTCCTGTATACCAGGGAGTGTGTGAAGAAAAGGAGGACCTTTTACTCAATATTGAAAACTCTGCAGTTTCCCATGTCTACTGTAGACTCAATGACGATGCATGATTGTATAGATCATCACATCCTTAGAGATGCCTGGAACCTGCATCATGCCCCCAGTTTCTTACATGGATGCTCACAAGTAGTCTGAGAAAGGCAGGAAAGTGGGGGTACTCTTCAGTTGGGAGAGATCTTTTCTTCAGCTTCTCTGTTCACAGCTCAATACCCATTCTCTCCTTTGCACTTGTCTCCCTCCTTTAAACATGTCCTGGGCAATTCCACCCTCCCCTGAAAAAGCGAGAGCCCCTCGCCTTGACTGGGTTGGCCACCTCACGTTTCAGAGCCTTTGAAATCACTTTGGAGGTAAAGCATTGATCTTTGTTCACCTTGACCACTGGGCTCTGTGAGGAGGGAAGCCAGGAGTCAAGAAGGGGGCAGAAAAGGGTGTCAGGGCCCCAGAGAAAAAGAGATAGGACTCAAAGTCACGGCTTTAGAAGTCTTCAGAAGACACATGAGTCTCACCTTGGGGAACAGGAGTTGAAGTTTCTCCTCTTGCTTGCCCCTAGAAGAGATGAAGATGACAAATGGGACCTAGGCTTGCTAGAACCCCTCTCCTCTGCCTTTGCAGGTGTCACTAATGGTTCATGGAATTTTCTCCTGCTGATCCCAGACAGGATCTCTGAATCATTCACAGAGTACTCCTGGCAGCTCTTTCCTGCAGTGTGAACACCCATTCCCTCCCTGCTCCATCTCTCCACTGGACAGCATGGGCTGACCATAAGCTCCACACACCTCACCCCCGTGGTTTTGGTGGGGAAGGCTGCTGGCCCACTCCTCACACATGGATCCTCAGGATGGAGTTTGCTGGTGTGACCCATCTTCTGGGTCATCACATCCTGGGTCATATCATCCTTCCAGAACAAATCTGCAGGGTGAAAGGATGTGGTGAATTAACACCTGGGATGCTCTGACTGGCCCACTCCAGGGATCAAAGTAAAGTAAACACTCCCCCTTTCCCTCAAAGTAAGACAAAGGATCACAATTTGTGGAAAGAATTAAATGAGATGTCACATAAAAGTTGCTTAGCACAGTGCCTGGCATGTAATAAATATTCTGCTAGGATTAGGACTGTACTCTTCTCGCTGACTCACTTGAAACTATCGTGAGGATTGAATGAGATTACGGATGTGAAGAGTACTGTGAAAACTCTAAGTCACTGAATGATTCCCAAACTTCACGGTACATTGGAATCTTCTGCAAGGCTTATTAAAACACAGATTGCTGTTCTTCTGTCCTAGAGTTCCTGATTCAGGAGGTCTGGGGTGAAGGTCATGAATTAGCATTTTGAACAAGTTTCCTGGTGATGCTAATACTACTGGTCTGAGGATGCACTTTGAGAATGCGCTGAGGCATTATACACATGCTAGACATCAGTAGTGGTAGTAGTAATATGAATTCTGGCCAGATTTCCTATCTGACTCTTCCCTCATTCATGAAACTCTCCTCTAAGAAAGTGTCAACCATCTGTCTTCAAAGGACTCCCCACTCCCTTCCTTCCTCTTTTGTATTTGTCATACAATTTGTTGTGCTTCCTACTCAGAGGTTCAAGTGTGTGTGTGTGTGTGTGTGTTTTCCTGGCTGAGAACTTAAAGATTCCTGATTCTGGAAAAAATCTGCTAGTGCTTGGGGTTGGGGCTAGTCCCAAGGAGTTAGATGCTGTCCTCTTCCAGGCGCTTCTTCTAGAAACCTCTGTTGGGCCCTTCCAGGGTCTTTGAGGGCAAACAGCCTGCCCTTCCAGGTCCATTCCCATTCTGGTCTCTCCCCATTCTCCATGAAGTGAACATGACAGAAAGAGTCAAGTAGAGACATTAGGGAAAGAAAGCCGGTTCTCCGATCAAAAGCCCCTCACTATACCTCCGTATATGACAAGCCTCAGCCTTTCCTCTCTAGCTCTTACTCACCATGCGGCATAATCTGCTGGAGTAAAACTTGCAAGTGCTTGAAGACCGGGCTGGTAAATCTTGGGAGGGGCCAGAGCTGCCCCACTCCTACTTAGCTCTGACCATCTGAGGGCAAAAAAGTGGTGTGAGAAAGGGGCTTGAGAGAAGCCTTCCAAATTCCAGTTGAAGAAAAGCAGCTTCCTTCCATTATCACCCCTGTGATTCAGGTTCAGTGGTCCCTGTCCTCTTCACCTGACTCCCTCCTCCTTTCAGGTCCTCCTTCTTTTTATTTTTCCCTCCACCCATCACAACCTTCCCTGTTTGTTAACCTCTGCACTTCATTCACTTTTGGTACCAAATAAGAGCCGAGTTTACAGGCAAAGAACAGTCCATGGAGGGAGAGGTAAGCAGACACTCAGAAAGCCACAAACATAGAATGGATAATCAGGTGAACTGGTAGGACAAGGAAAGCAGGGGAACTGCATTCAGGGAAGGCTTTAAAGCCTGGAGGGGATCGAAGGGGACTGGAGGATGGCTCAGTGGTAAAGAATTGTTGCATCCCTGGGTCAGGAAGACCCCCTGGAAGAGGAAATGGCAACCCACTCCAGTATTCTTGCCTGCATAATTCCATGGACAGAGGAGCCTGGTGGGCTATAATCCATGAGGTCGCAAAGAGTTGGACAGAACTGAGTGTGTGAACACGCGTGAGCACACACGCATAAGGATTGGAGAGGAGTCCTGAAATCTTTAGAGGAGGAAAGTATTGGTATGCATAGGTTTTGAACATCTAAATCCTTGTCCTGAAAGCTAAAATTTGCCCAACTGGGCATAAGAGAAGGCGAGGGGGGCGGAGATAATCCCTAATGCTATACACACTTTTTTATTCCAAGTAGATGGGGTAGGGTTGGAGCCTGTTTTGTTGTTGTTGTTGTTGTTGCTGTTCTTGTTTGCTTGTTTCTTTGTTTATTTGGGGGGGGTTGTTTGTTTCCGATGGTGGAATTACCGCGATTCATTATGGAATTAAATGGATGCTATTATCATTTCCCTGGCTCTGGGAAGGAGGAAAACGTCATACTGAGAAGGAAAATAGCTTCTGGAAGGAGAGATCGTTCTCTGGGGCTGCGTTCCCAGAACCGGCAGGAAAAGTGGTGACCCGGACACCCTCAGTCAGACCTACAGGGGCACCTGGCGCTGTCCGCGGTGCTGAGCGGTGGCCAAAGCCTGGCATGGAGGAGGCTCTGAGCTGTAAAGAGAGCTAGGCATCCCTAAGAAGCTTGCGGGTCCTACCCTCTCCCCACCCCCACTCCCCTGGCCTCCTCCTACAGGTTCTCCCGAGTCCTCTGCACCGGCCTCTAAACCCAAGAATCGGGCGAGGAGAGCCGGCGCCAGCCTAGGAGTTTGCAGCGTCTGCCTGAAGCTCCGGGTGCTGGAATCCTCGAGTCTGCGCAGTCGGTCTCTGGCTGCTCAAATGTGAGTCAGCGATGGTCTACCCGGATGGCGCAGTGAAGGGGGAGGAAGAAGATGGACCTTTTCTGCCTCATCCTCTTTTGCCCCAGTCTAGCCCTCCCATTCTTCCCGGAAACTGGATGCAAACACCAGGCTCCAGGGGCTTACAAAGAAGCCTTGGCTCATCCCTTGGCCCAGTCTTCTCCCTGGGCCCGGATACCCGCGGTCCCTGCTCCTGCTGTCCAGAGATCCTGGCCCCTGACTCTGCCTGAGCCATAGGAATCTCTTCCTCCACTCCTCGGCAAGTCTTGCTTCTCTTGTGGCCGCACAGGCCAGTTTTACTTCCCTGTGCCCCTGTGTTTTTCCGTCCTTCTTCCTAATCCCCAATCTTCCCCTGAGTCAGCTTCTCTTAGGTCCAGATCCCATACACCGAGCCCCACTCCAAGCCTGCGCGTCCTTCTGCATACTTTTCTTTTCTTACTCCCCAAACACATTGTTTTCCTCCGAAGTTCCTAAACTTGAGGTCCCCAGACCCACTTCTCTCAGAACCGCTCTGTGGCCCTGCCCTCACCCCCCGCCAGGTTTCCTCCTGACCGTGACCACTAACGTCGCTGCAGCCCCCCAGGCGGCTGTTGAGCGGCAGGAAGCAGACGAACAGCCAGAGCCCCCGGAAGCTCCCAGGCCACAGCGGGTGCTGCATCCTCCCGGGCTCGCTGCGCTGGTTCCCCACCTAAGTCGAAGAGATGGCAGACAGCTGCCGGAGGGACTGCGCAGGGCTGTTGATTCCCACCCGCTGGCTAGCCAGACTGAATCTACGCAATCCTCCCTTGGCAGCTGGGCCAATCGCTGGCGGGCCCTGCCGCTGCCTACGCCTACCCAGCCCTTACTTCTCCTACGGGCCCCACCGCCGCCCAAACCTACTCCTAGGAGCCCACTCCTCTCTTAATATTTTCCTGATACTTACTTCACCCTTACCTACCTTAAAATCTCCAACCATCATGGGTTTAACCTGCTAAATATATGCACAACTATCTTCTCCACATCCACTGCCATTGTCTTGGTTCAAACCATTGTACCGATTTTAATAGAGCTATTGCAGTAACTAACTACTGAGGTAACTAACTGATCCATAACTTCCACACTTTCTTAGTTACAGGCTAATATGTGAGCTTCTTAAGCTCTAGACATTTGAATAGCTTTTTCATTAAGCTTAAAATTTTATTATGAAAGTTTTCAAATATTAGACATGAGAAGACTCAAATGAATAAACTTAAAACATGAATATTCTTATCACCCAGACTTAACAGTTATTAAGATTTTGTCACAGTTGCTTCTTTTCCTTGCTGAAGTATTTAAGAGTATTTTACAGACACCATGACATTTCACTCCTAAATAATTTAATATACATCTTTTAGAATTAATTATATTTTTCTATGTAGCCACAATACCATTATGATACCTATGGTAGGCTGAATAATGAACCCCAAAGATGTCCACGTCTGAATCCCTGAAATTGTGAACATGTTTCTTGACGCAGAAAGCGGGACTTTGCAGGTGTGATTAGCATTAGAAGATGGTTCACTTCAAATGGGGAGAATATCCTGGATTTTCTGAGTGTGTGCAACATTATCGCAAAGGTCTTCACAGAGAGAAGCAGGAGGGTTAGAGTCAGTAGTGGAGGATATAACATTGGAAGCTAGAGGTTGGAGTGATTCAAGGAAGGGGCCACAACCCAAGGAATGCAAACAGCCTCTAGAAGGTAAGATTGTGTTTTCTCCCTTTAAACCTTCAGAAGGAGCAGAGACCCGCTGACACTTATTTTATCTTTAAAAATATTTATTCATTTATTTTTGGCTCTGCTGGGTCTTGATTACTTCTCGTGGACTTTCCCTAGCTGCAGAGAGCGGGGGTTACTTCCTAGTTGCAGTGCTCAGTTTTCTCATAGTGGTAGCTTCTCTTGTTGTGGAGCATTGGCTCTAGGCATGTGGACTTCAGTAGTTGTGGCTCATGGGCTTCATTGCCCTGTGGCATGTGGAATCTTCCCAGACCAAGGATCGAACTGGTGTCCCCTGCATTGGCAGGCAGAATCTTAACAACTGGACCACCAGGAAGTCCAGACATTTTAATTTTAGACTTCTGACTTCCAGACCTATAAGATAACAAAATTGTTTTGGGGCATGAAGTTTGATTTGCTGTGATTTGTTACACCAGCATTTGGAAATCAACACAATGTCTAAAAATATTTACTATTCCCTAATTAACAAAATTCTCTAATACTTTCAGATGCGTGTGTGCTCAGTCGCATCTGACTCTGCAACCCCATGGACTGTGTAGCCCTCCAGGCTCCTCTGTCTATGGAATTTGGAGTGTGTTGCCATTTCTTTCTCCAGGGACACCTTCCCAACCCAGGGATCGAACCCATGTCTCCTGCATCATCCTGCACTGGCAGGCAGATTCTTTATCACAGAGCCAACTGGGAAGCCCCAATCCTTCCAGATACAACTCCTTTAACAGATTAA